GTTTCCTGCCAAAGAACTGCCGAGGATGCCCCACCACCTACACCTCAAAGCCAAAGCTTCCAGAATTTTTTTCCTGGTGGAAAGCGCTCCTGTTCCTTTTTTCAGCCCTGCACTACAAAGGCCTGTCCCACCTCCTGGAAAATTGAATGTAAATGAAGATTCCTGCCAGACAAAAGGTGCCACCACAGAAAGGTCTTCCTGCCCAAGAAGTACCCAGGCTGCCCCAACAACTGCACCTCAAAGCCAAAGGTTCCAGGCTTTTTTTCCTGGTGGAAAGAACTGCTTTTCCCTTTTTTCAGCCCTGCGCAGCAATGGCCTGTCCCACCTCCTGGAAAATTGAATGAAAATGGACATTTCTACCAGACAACAGGTTCCAGCACGGAAGACTCTTCCTGCCCAAGAAGTGCCCAGACTACACAAACAACTGCACCTTAAAGTCAAAGCTTCCAGACTTTTTTTCCTGGTAGAAAGAGCTGCTGTTCCCTTTTTTCCAGCCCTGCTCTACAGTGACCTGTCCCACCTCCTGGAAAATTTACTCCAAAGGAAGATTCCTGCCAGACAAAAGGTGCCACAACAAAAACCTCTTGCTGCCCAAGAAGTTTCCAGGCTGCCCCACCAACTACACTTCAAACCCAAAGCTTCCAGACTTTTTTTCCTGGTGGAAAGCGCTCCTGTTCCCTTTTTTCAGCCCTGCGCCACAAAGGCCTGTCCCATTTCCTGGAAAACTGAATGTAAATGAACATTCCTGCCAGAGAAAAGGTGCCACCACAGAAAGGTCTTGCTGCCCAAAAAGTGCCCAGGCTGCCCCATCAACTGCACGTCCAAACCCAAGTTTCCAGACTTTTTTTCCTGGTGGAAAGATCTGCTGTTCCCTTTTTCCAGCCCTGCTCTACAATGGCCTGTCCCACCTCCTGGAAAATTGATTGTAAATGAAGATTCCTGCCAGACAAAAGGTGCCACCACAGAAAGGTCTTGCTGCCCAAGAAGTACCCTGACTGCCCCAACAACTGCACCTAAAAGCCAAAGCTTCCAGGCTTTTTTTTCTGGTGGAAAGAACTGCTTTTCCCTTTTTTCAGGCCTGCGCTGCAATGGCCTGTCCCACCTCCTGGAAAATTGAATGAAAATGGACATTTCTACCAGACAACTGGTTCCACCACAGAAGACTCTTCCAGCCCAAGAAGTGCCCAGACTAAACAAACAACTGCACCTCAAAGTCAAAGCTTCCAGACTTTTTTTCCTGATAGAAAGAGCTGCTGTTCGCTTTTTTCCAGCCCTGCTCTACAGTGGCCTGTCCCACCTCCTGGAAAATTTACTCCAAATAAAGATTCCTGCCAGACAAAAGGTGCCACCATAAAAACTTCTTTCTGCCCAAAAAGTTCCGAGGCTCCCTCACCACCTACACCTCAAAGCCAAAGCTTCCAGACTTTTTTTCTTATTGGAAAGAACTGCTGTTCCCTTTTTTCAGACCTGTGCTGCAATGGCCTATCTCACGTTCTGAAAAATTTACTCCATAGAAGATTCCTGCCAGATAAAAGGTTTCACCACAGAAAACTCTTCCTCCCCAAAAAGTGCCCAGGCTGCCTCAACAACTACACCTCTATTTTAAAGCTTCCAGACTATTTTTCCTGGTGGAAAGCGCTCCTGTTCCTTTTTTTCACCCCTGCGCTACAAAGGCCTGTCCCACCTCCTGGAAAATTGAATCCCACTGAAGATTCCTGCCAGACAAAAGGTGCCACCACAAAAACCTCTTGCTGCCCAAAAAGTGCCCAGGCTGCCCCACCAACTGCACCTCAAAGCCAAAGCTTCCAGCCTTTTTTTCCTGGTGGAAAGAGCTGCTCTTCAATTTTTTAAAGCGTGAATTGCAATGGCCAGTCCAAACCCCTTGAAAATTTACTCCATTTGAAGATTCCTGTCAGACAAAAGGCACCACCACAGAAAGCTGTTCCCTGCCCAAGAAGTGCCCAGACTGCCGCACCAACTACACCTAAAAACCAAAGTTTCCAGACTTTTTGTCCTGGTGGAGAGAACTGCTGTTCCCTTTTTTCAGCCCTGCTGCAATGGTCTGTCCTACGTCCTGGAAAATGGAATCCATCTGAAGATTCCTGCCAGACAAAACGTGCCACCACAGAAAGCTCTTTACTGTCCAAGAAATCCCCAGGCTGCCCCAACAACTGCACCTCAAATCCAAAGCTTCCAGACTTTTTTCCTGGTGGAAAGAGCTTCTGTTCAAGTTTTTCAGCCCTGCACTACAAAGGCCTGTCCCACATCCTGGAAAATTTAATGTAATTGAAGATTACTGCAAGAAAAAAGGTGCCACCACAGAAAACTCTTCCTGCCCAAGAAGTGCCCAGGCTACACAAACAACTGCACCTCAAAGTCAAAGCTTCCAGACTTTTTTTCCTAGTAGAAAGAGCTGCTGTTCCCTTTTTTCCAGCCCTACTCTACAATGGCCTGTCCCACCTCCTTGAAAATTGAATCCAACTGAAGGTTCCTGCCAGACAAAATGTGCCACCACAGAAAGGTCTTGCTACCCAAGAAGTGCCCAGGCTGCCCCACCAATAGCACATAAAACCCAAAGGATCCAGACTTTTTTTCCTGGTGGAAAGAGCTGCTGTTCAATTATTTAAAGTGTGAACTGCAATGGCCAGTCCAAACACCTTGAAAATTTACTCCAAATGAAGATTCCTGGCAGACAAAAGGTGCCACCTCAGATAGCTGTTTGCTGCCCAAGAAGTGCCCAGGCTGCTCCACCAACTACACCTCAAAGCCAAAGCTTCCAGACTTTTTTTCCTGGTGGAAAGCGCTCCTGTTCCTTTTTTTCGACCCTGCTCTACAAAGGCCTGTCCCACCTCCTGGAAAATTGAATGTAAATGAAGATTCCTGCCCGTCAACAGGTTCCACCACAGAAGACTCTTCCTGCCCAAGAAGTGCCCAGACTACACAAACAACTGCACCTCAAAGTCAAAGCTTCCAGACTTTTTTTCCTGGTAGAAAGAGCTGCTGTTCCCTTTTTTCCAGCCCTACTCTACAATGGCCTGTCCCACCTCCTTGAAAATTGAATCCAACTGAAGGTTCCTGCCAGACAAAATGTGCCACCACAGAAAGGTCTTGCTGCCCAAGAAGTGCCCAGTCTACCCCAACAACTGCATATCAAAACCAAAGGATCCAGACTTTTTTTCCTGGTGGAAAGAGCTGCTATTCAATTTTTTAAAGCGTGAACTGCAAGGACCAGTCCAAACCCCTTGAAAATTTACTCCAATTGAAGATTCCTACCAGACAAAAGGTGCCACCTCAGAAAACTGTTTCCTGCCAAAGAACTGCCGAGGATGCCCCACCACCTACACCTCATAGCCAAAGCTTCCAGACTTTTTTTCCTGGTGGAAAGCGCTCCTGTTCCTTTTTTCAGCCCTGCACTACAAAGACCTGTCCCACCTCTTGGAAAATTGAATCCAAATGAAGATTCCTGCCAGACAAAAGGTGCCACCATAAAAGCTTCTCACTACCCAAGAAGTGCCCAGGATGCTCCACCCACTACACCACAAACCCAAAGCTTCCAGACTTTTTTTTTTTTTGGAAAGAACTGCTGTTCCCTTTTTTCAACCCTGCTCTGCAATGGCCTGTCCCACCTCCTGGAAACTTGAATGTAATCAAAGATTCCTGCCAGACAAAAGGTGCCACCACAGAAAGGTCTTGCTGCTCAAGAAGTGCCCAGGCTGCCCCAACAACTGCACATCAAAGCCAAAGGATCCAGACTTTTTTTCCTGGTAGAAAGAGCTACTGTTCCCTTTTCTCCAACCCTGCTCCACAATGGCCTGTACCACCTCTTGGAAAATTGAATCCAACTGAAGATTTCTGCCAGACAAAAGGTGCCACCATAAAAACTTCTCACTACCCAAGAAGTGCCCAGACTGCTCCAGCTTCTACACCACAAACCCAAAGGTTTCAGACTTTTTTTCCCGGTGGAAAGAGCTGCTGTTCTATTTTTTAAAGCCTGAACTGCAAGGGCCAGTCCAAACCCCTTGAAAATTTACTCCAAATGAAGATTCCTACCAGAGAAAAGGTGCCACCTCAGAAAACTGTTTCCTCCCAAGAAGTGCCCATGCTGCCCCACCACCTGCACCTCAAAGCCAAAGCTTCAAGACTTTTTTTCTTTTTGGAAAGAGCAACTTTTCCCTTTTTTCAGCCCTGCGCTGCAATGGCCTGTCCAACGTCCTGAAAAATTTACTCCGTATGAAGATTCCTGCAGACTGAAGGTGCCACCAAAAAACCTCTTACTGCCCAAGAAGTGCCCAGGCTGCCCCACCAACTACACCTCAAAGCCAAAGCTTCCAGACTTTTTTTCCTGGTGGAAAGCACTTCTGTTCTTTTTTTTTGGCCCTGCGCTACAAAGACCTGTCCCACCTCCTGGAAAATTGAATGTAAATGAAGATTCCTGCCAGACAAAAGGTGCCACCACAGAAAGGTCTTCCTGCCCAAGAAGTACCCAGGCTGCCCCAACAACTGCACCTCAAAGCCAAAGGTTCCAGGCTTTTTTTCCTAGGTGAAAGAGCTACTGTTCCATTTTTTCAGCCCTGCGCAGCAATGGCCTGTCCCACCTCCTGGAAAATTGAATGAAAATGGACATTTCTACCAGACAACAGGTTCCACCACAGAAGACTCTTCCTGCCAAGAAGTGCCCAGACTACACAAACAACTGAACCTCAAAGTCAAAGCTTCCAGACTTTTTTTCCTGGTAGAAAGAGCTGCTGTTCCCTTTTTGCAGCCCTGCGCTGCAATTGCCTGTCTCACGTCATGAAAAATTTTCTACATATGAAGATTCCTGCCAGACAAAAGGTGCCACCACAAAAACCTCTTTCTGCCCAAGAAGTTCCCAGGCTGCCCCAACAACTACACCTCAAAGCCAAAGCTTCCAGACTTTTTTTCCTGGTGGA